GTCGATTGTGCGGTCCTCTTGACTTTCTGAGGGTGGTAGTGAGTGTCCCTTAGTGACCGAGTTTAGTTGAACAGTAATGATAGGTCCAGTGAGTTACCTGTCTACTTCAAGTGAAGAAATAGGGTGGAAAAAGTAATTAATACAACTGCAAAGTAGGAAAAATAAGGCAAACTGAACTTGAAGTCCATTTTGGTCTAGACATGGAGAGAGCCTATGATGTCTGAGTGGGGCGCAGATGTGTTCGTAAGTACAAGATCGGTGCAAGTGAGGGCTTGATTAAGCAGTTTTACAAACGTATGTAATTCATCTGCCATGCGAGTTTCGGAGGGAAGACTGTCCCATATTATTGCATACTTGGTGATGAAGAAGTTTTCCCGAGTTTTTGATCTGCATTTCTCAACTTTGACCGTAGATACTTTGTTTTGAAGTCCGTATTCATATGAATCTCGGGCAAGAATTATCTTACATGTTCAATAAGTAAGGTTTTTGAGTAGTTTAAAATAGAGTATCAAATTAGACCTAAGCCTTCTCTTCCTAAGTGGTGCTATTCCTAAGATTTGGCATCAGGTACTGTAGTCAATGACTGAGTCAGTCTTTAGTACTTTACGGGTGAAGTCTCGTTGTACTCCTTCCACCTTTAGTATATCAGATAGGCGTAGGTTGGAAAATAAGAACGAGCAGTATTCAACGATTGATCTTACATGTACTTCAGGACCTTGTCCTAATGTAGCCGTGTTGTGACGGGTCTATTATGTCTTCCTTAAGTAGGTGATCAGATGGTTGATATTGTATCACTTTTTCTATTATGCGTGATATAACTAGAGTGATATTTATAGGTCTAGTTTTCGACCAGGTTTCTCGGTCCTGATTTGTGTTTGGGAAGAACATACGTTGCCTTCCAGATTTCGGATATGTACCTGTCCCTAAAGATAATGTGTATATTTTGAGTAATAGCGTCCGTATGTCCGGTTCTGACATTTTATGAAGAATTGAAGGGATGTCATCGGCACCAGAACTCGCATTCGGTTTAAGGGTTTTAATGGTGGTAAGTATACTCCCAATGTCAAAGTTTATGGTACTAAGATAGTTTTTGCCGATGCACTTAATTTTGATATCTGGAGCATGAGATGTATTCTCATTGTGGGAAAACCATTCACTTAATAGTTCACATATGACGGTTTGGTCATTATACGTCACTCCATCGTTCAGTAAGGAGTGAATGTTGTTGTCTGCGTTCTTTCTTATGCGTTTCGTGAAGAGACGACAGAAGGCTTGGGCTTTAGATACAGCAGCGAGCGCAGTACGTTCCTCTACCTGTTTATGGTTGCTGTGTTGACTCTGTACGCCGTCAGGTACAGAGCTTATTTGGTGCAGGGCACTGAAGTCATTTGATATAATACGTCTCTTTCAGTTTTCGCAGCTTAGACCTAGTGATTGTTTAAAAAGCAATTTTAGAGGGTATAGTAGTGTCTATTGCAGATTTGGTGTTGGTATTGAATATTTCTAATTTTTCTGAGAGGTTATCACGGGAAGGGAAACTGCTCCAGTCCGAATGATTTATTAGAAGTCGAAAATTTTCCCAGTCAGCGTTTGCGTAGTCTCTATATTGGAAACACGTATTTAATGTCTTCAATTTGTTGCACATGGCAAGAATCGGAAGGGTGTAGAGGACTATTTTATGTTCGCTCTTGTGAAACTTTTCGCCAACTACCATTGATGTTGGTGTAATATTGTGACAAAATATCAAGTCAAGATTGTCGTGATTTCGTGTAGGCAGGTGTACATGTTGTTACCAACCGTGTATGTCTAAGTACCTAAGTATGCTTTCAAAGCACAGTGGGCCAGAATGTGTCGTCCAGTTGATGGTGGGAAGGTTGAAATCACCACATATAATTTTGTAAGTGAAGTCAAGCGAGGCAGCCTGAGCAAATGACTCACTTATAATAGTGTCAGTTGAACTAGGAGTGTTAGGAGCTCGACATATGCATCCGATTAGTATTTTACATTCATGGGTATGCACAGTAAACTGTATCGATTCGGGAAGTTTGCTGAGGACGTGGTCGCTATAGATTTCCCCTCTCAAATTTTTTGATACATAAACGAGACAACCACCACCCTTCTTGGTGACTCGATCACAGCGGAAGAGCTCATAGGTGTCTATTTGCAGATATGGGTCTGTGATATCGAAGGACAGCCAACTTTCCGTTATAAAAACAAGTGAGGGATTGTTTAAAAGTAATAGGGTGCGTAGGTGAGTCATCTTACTTTGTACAGATCGGACGTTGATTAACATAAGTGTCAGGTACGGTGAAGGGTATGATGTAAACCCAGTGGATTGTCTGTTTTGCCATGAGAAAAGCAAGAATTGGGAGCGTTGACTGCATATTGATGAGCGTTTAGTTTATTACCAATAGGGTTAATGCGAGAGGGGTAGTCGGGTGTTGTTTTGGTGAAAGAAGTATGTCTAAGAGTGATAGGTAGAGTTGAATGGTTAGGTAGTGTGTTTGGGGAGTGCTCAGGAGGTTCAGTCAAGGAGTTTTTAAGACTGGAGACAGTTATCGAAGTTAAAAAGTATGTGCCACTCCCCATTAAATCGGAGTACATGGATGGTCTCAGAATGGTGGGATTGTCGCCCTCAACATTTGGGGACCCCATAGCAGTAATGTTGAGGGAAAGAGAGATAAAAAAGGATGAGATGGCGTATATGACGGATTAGGGGGATTAAAGAGTCTTATAGGGTGGTTTGACTTAGATAGTACCTAGAATCAGTAGGTGGGTTCCCAAGTAGGCCAACGTTATGGCATCCTTATGTGCGGTGGGCAATTTTAGTCCTATTGTGGGTAGTTGGGGAGGTCGTATGATTCGGGTAAGGAATGAAGGAATGCCTGTTATTGTTGCCAGGAGAGGTGTTTCTGTTGTGTATAGTTGTGTGCTGGTTCATGGGGCTTACAAGGTTCACACTATATGACTTATGGGTATTACGTGTAGGTGTGGTTCTTGTTGAGTGTCGTTTCACGTTAGAAAGGTTGGGTATTGCCAGTTCACTATGTTTGTTATAGGGCATTCTATTGCTATGAAGAGATGCATGTTTTGGGTTAGGGGTGCTGGAGCAGTGGTGGGTTTTTACAAAGAGTTTGGTATTATTTCGTACAGCGGTGTCTGAGCGTCTGTAGCTGTTAGCACAATTCCTCGGAGGGTCATTTTTAGGCTTTTTATCGGGGCCGCTAGGGCAATACTTGGACACTATTGAGGCATAAGTGGATTGGCATTTTGGGGTAGCTGTGTGTTTGGGCTGAGGGTGAGTGGTTGCGGCTGCTTTATATGCGGTCTTATTCTTAGGAATAATAGCAGCATCCGACATGCCTTCGTTTTTTGGAGGGGCAGTGTATGGTGTTTTAGGATTTGTGCAATGGTAAACGCTGTAACTGCCACTGCTACGTAGGCTGGGTTGATTAGTTTGTTCTCCATTCAAGATTTGACGCTGGATAGCAGTCCTGTCATGGATGATTCTAATCTTTTTAAATGTTGGAATACGCCTCAATAATGACTGACTATTGAGTAGGTGATTAGCGTCAGTGGTATTACCAAACTGAAATAGAGTGGGACAGGAGGTTTTAGTGTGTGCTTTACGTAATCTTGTTACACACCAAGATTGTGACAATTCCCATTCTTGTAGTGGAGTATTTTTTAGCAATCTTTACGTTCGCACTATCAGGTATATTATACACAATGACATTCTGCATACGCTGAAGTCTTTTCAACAATTCAGATGATATATGGTCAATTACTTTTCAGTGTTTATAATTTCGAATTCGGGATTTTCTGTAACATTGATTAAATATTTGTTTGGTAATAAGTCTTGGACAGTTTGGGTGAGGCTAAGTTTTGTTTGACTGCTTTTAGATCTACCAGTGGTGAGATTATTGGAATTTATATCAAAGCTTTTAAGGTCGATATGGTTACATACAGACCTGTTGCAGGTTTCTACCGGGTGGTCACCTTGTGCATAATTAGTTGGGGAGTATATGTCTGGGTGAGTAGTCAAGATCTACATCATCGAGCTGGCTATTGTAGGCAGGCTTACACGTACTCCGTGAGCCGCTATTCAGGATGGCCGATTGTGAAATTGTTGAGTGTTTGGGGTCAGTCGCACGGTCTAGATACTGCTCACAACATGTGATGCTTTCGTTTGGACTGGCAAATGATGTCGACTCTCACGGTATATGACTGCTCTTACTTATATATACAAGAGAGATGGAAGGTAGTGGTGTGTCATACCCAAGTAAACGGTGCACCTTTAGTGTAGCTGAAGGAAGATTAGAATAGGATGCAGACTGGTCAGTATGTTTATGGAGCTTAACACTACTCACTTTAGTGACTGATTTAGATCTTTTGCAAGTGCTATAGGAATCAGGAGAGATTATATGTTTTGTAGATGGCCTGGACATTATTGGAAGTATTGTAAATATAAAGTTTAATTAAGTGAACGGCGTCAGTTATCAATTAACTTATTAGACGTGTCTTTGCACGTCTAATGGTAGGATAAGAACCAGTATTAGTTAAAAGCAAACACATTAGCGTTATTCAGTGTAAAGAGGTAGACAACGTGAAAACTGGCGAAATTATTGCATGACGTTGAGTCCCAAAATGAAGTGTCAAGTTGATAGGACCCTATCAGTGATGAATTATTTATCGCTAATAAATGTTAAACCAAAGAGAAAAACTAATAAGAAAATAAAATGATACCACGTAAAAAAATCACAACCTTCAAAACGAGTTTAAATTTTTGCAGTGTTACAAATTGCAATGATTAATATAGGTCGATAGACCTCCAGTCCTTATTACTGAAAGCTGAACAAACAAGCTATTTGAACAAACTTTTATCCGTTCACACCCACTTGAACTATTCGAACAGAATATTTGATCGAAATGCTCTATGATGAAATCTAACTGCTTACATCTGAAGACTCGTTCAATATGTTCAGATGTTATTGTTTAGCTCACAATGTCGCGGCAAGTTTAGGTTGGAGGTCAAGGTCGCCGTTGTTCATGATTCTCGTGTAAGCCAGTAGATGAATTGTTTAACTGAATGTAAAAAACATTTTCTTGTAGTTAGACTCGAGTTTTCTATAACAATTGTGTTTAGCGTTTTCAGATAGTTTACACTAGTTCATTGGGTTTGGACCCAATGAATAATGTGGTGATTGCACCTAATGTAGATTGTGACATTGCCACCATAAAATATGTACTCTTTCAAAGAACCAAGTATGGTGATAAGCCTTTGTGATACACATACTAAGTAATTGTGAGAATATTAGCACTAGCAAGTATGTTAGGCTATTTGCAAATCGATTTGTAAATGGATCTTCCTGAATTTGGGAAGAAATTTAACATTACTTCAGGTGTTTTAAAGTGTACTTTTGTAGGCTTGTGACTTCCGTAATCATTGTATAATTGCTACCCCTTGACTGATCACCACCAACTAGAGTTACGGGAAACTGAGTAGCTGCGGCGAGACTATAATTTTTGGACGAACGAATCACGTATAAGATAACATGTCTCGGATATTGGCAGAAATTCATTCATCCATTAGGGTAAATATAGTTTTGGGATTATACCTTATGTTAGTTCGTGATGAGAACCCGAAATCTAATTCCTAACCTTGATCATCAACTGTAAATTATAATTGCGATTCCGGTAAAACTATATTTTATGGGCGACCTTTGGACGAATTTTTAAGTGACCTTGAAACTATTAGTCAATCAGAAGAGAGTTAGTATAAAGTGAAAACACATGATAAAAAACTTATGAATTACAGCGGATATTCTTCTTGTTAAGGTTAGATGAAGGTTCAGATGTCCTGAAATCATAGTGCGTAGGGTTAGGGTTAAGGTTAGAGTTAGGGGTCAAGGTTTAGGGTTAGGGTGCACAAACCCAAGTCTATGTAGGCATCTATACGGTTTCCGATCATCGGTGTATATCGTACTGCCAGGCTGCACGTACTGTAACATCTGCAAAAGCCGCAGCCAATGTTACTGGTGACTTCATAATCCAATTTGCAACAATTATCATGATTTGCCTTAGTCTGAGTCGTGATCGAACGAAGAAAGTGCCAGTTCGAGCAGATTTTATCTTCTAACATATAGTACAACGAAATCTAATGTCATCACGGCAGTCTGCACATCGTGCTGCAGTCATTTGATTACCGCAGTCACAGATACAGGAACTTCCTAATAGTCCCATCTGTTGTAGTCGCTCAAAAATCACCTCTTCTCTAAAATCTGCTGTAAAACGATCGAATGTGAGCATCTCGTATTGAACTTAGCGCCGTGACCTTGAAATTCCTCGAACGCTTCTGATTGGCTCGTCCATAAATTAGAGTCTTACCGCGATTCCTCATACAGGTTCATAACCCTCATTTTGCCCTAGTTGTTAAGTGGACACCCTCAAGGTCAGTTTAGCGGCGCTCAACGGTCAATCCACGAATTGTAGTCTCACCGCTGCCTTACTTATACACACTTACTCTGATGCCACACAATGTAAGGATTCTCTGGCCTACCTGACCAGGCTGTCTTAGTTTCTAAGTGCAGTGTAAGAATCCAAAGAACTCCCAGAAGAGCTGACTTATTTAAAAATTGTGAAAAAAGAATACAAACAGCACTAATGAGTTTTTATACTTGCTGATCCCCAAATCGTATTTACACATTGCCTATGTTGGTCATTGTGTTCCTTAAGGTGATGAGCATCTCAGTGTTTGATGATCTATCCTAAGTACTGGGAATGTTTTGAACATTACTGAATAGCCTCAACGGTATATTCTGACCTTACTACAAATCACTAGAATCAGCAACGAAGTGGGAGAACTATCGAGCACTGTCCTTCCTAAAGTGAGTATTAGACCAAGAGAATGTTTTTTTACTACTTATTGATTGTGCTTTACGGTCTTAGATTAAAGTAACAACGTGGGCGTAGTAATTTAGCTCAATAGTACTTAGTCGCGTTAAGTTAGTCTTCTGTATGCTTCAAAACATTTAACAAAGAAGTAGAAGAATCGGAACGTATCCGTTTTTATCTTTGATGGTTAGTTGTAAAATCTAGGTCGGTACATTATTTTTTAATAGTACTGAGGGTGAATTCCGGTGACAAAATTCCTTACTTCATAACCAACCTGTAGAGCTACTGTCAGTGTCTTGATTCTGGATGAACTAGGGTATGTGAAGGAACACTTAAACACCTCTTACACGTGCCTGGAATCCAGGCAGATACACCCTGAAAGGTGATGCCATCCTCAGACTACGGCCGTTCATGTGATTGAATTTTCTTGGATCTAAAAACATGGCATCAAGAAACATTACTTATGAATCGCAAATATGTTAACTACTGCAAATCAACAAATTGATGCCATAAGAGGTGTTTCCCATAAGTGCCGTTTAAACAACACAGGGGTAATCGTATCAGCAGTAGAGGTCTGTTCCCGCTTCTCAGTTTTTCACTATCTTAAGCCTTTTGCTAACTGCAGAAATAGCCTGTATTGAAGTAAAATGTAGCCAGCTAATCTGAGGGCTTGTTTTGGTCAGTTTTGTGACTAGAGATTTTGTCCCAATTTCCATAGCTTCATGTCGCTTCATTTAAAGCATGGAAACAACATTCTCTAACAGTTTTTTGAGCTCAGTAAAAGCATCAACCTCAGGAAGATCATGTGAATGGTGGTTTCATAAGTTTTTTTATAAATCCGGAGAAACTAAAACAGTTCAGTATCAAAATAACCGGAATAAAACTGCAAGAACTTTTCACAAGTCATTTCTACTAATCGGTTAGTTTTCTGCTTTTTTCCCGAAAATTTTCTTGCAAGCTGAAATTATTTCAGCTAAAATTCGTAGCCTTTAAATATATTTTCACTATCAGGAAAGTTAATACGTTAATCATCAGGTCTGCTCTATTGGGGTCAGACTTCTATGTCTTCGGAAATCCTTACTCTTTCTACTTCTCTTATAGATACAGTTCTTGAAACCAGTTTAGCGTCTTCCGGATTGGTGTGAAAAAACAGTTGCGATGCATCTTGTTTCTTTCGCTGGTAAGTGTCGTAGGTTTTTCAAATATTTGATTTAACAGTTCAATTCCTAAGAGAAGCTACGACTGAAGTTTATCAATGTTTTTAAAATGTTCAGTGACAATTTTCGATAACGAGAACCAAGGATACTAACATGGTACTGGTAAAAGATCTTGATATATATCAAGGAGACCAGCTCGAGAGATTTGGTCATAGGGAGATTGACACCAGTAATGATGTAGTCTATATGAAGCAAGTAATGCTATAATTTAGGGGACACTTACAGCTACCATCGAAATTAAATCATATGGCTTGTTTGTAACCGTGATTCAGTTAATATGTAGTATCTATAACACAGAATCGTATGTGAGAAAGATCTGTTTACTACCGATGAAGCTATAATTAATTTCATCATGACGAAGTATGAGGAAAATATGTCTATAAAATCAACTAATGACCCCAACAGAGTGTTCTCATCGGGCACACGTTATTCCTAGTAAGTTTGATTTCCAAATGTCGAAAAGTTGGGTCGAACTCTAAACTCATTGTCTCTTTGAGTGAACTTTAATATATCAACTCATCAGAGATCAGAACTCAGCACATTTTAGAATGGAGCTTCTTGCAGACTAATATTTCTTTTGGGAGTTGTCTTCACGCAGTTCAACCAATTTATTTCGTACATTTAGTTTAATAATGTATGCGTTTTCAACGTGTTGCAGTCAGGAATTATCACTATTAAATGCCTAGAATTTTTTCATAATCACTAAGTTTCTTCATCTTCACTTCTCGTGTAATCATTACTTTCCTCGTTTATTGAAAGAATCACCTCCATTTGACCAATTCTTCAAGATAATTATTGCTGACTACTTTAGACTATACGTCAACATCCGTGGTGCATCAATGTTTTGGTTGGGGTGTTATTTACGAAATTGAGAGGATGAAAAGCGGACAGTAACCCAGCATATACAAATTTAATGATTTACGTGGCGTATTTATATTCTGGCTCCCTTTGTACCAGTGTTTATGTGCTTAAATAATTAGAATAAGTCTTAGTTTTTGTGCGATAAGAAGACATCTTTTAACACATAATGAGTTCGGACGTCGTGTATATACATGAGCTTATCATTACTAGTGACCTCAAGCAGTAAAGATTGCTTTTATACGGTTTTCAGAAAAGGACCTATTAGCATTATAGACAATAAGACGAGATATTCGACTGTTGTACGTAGACTAGTTGGTATTTTCGTTGTGTTTTGGGATTACCCAAATTTAATTTGGCGTAAGCTTTAATATAGTGAAAAATCTCCATAACTACGTGGTGAAGAAGTAAAATGAATGCATATTTATTTATGCATAAAGTTAACATTGCACTAAACATGTCTGTTTTCCACAGAAGAGTTGTGTAGAATACGACTTATTTTCCCCATTTCAAGCAGTATTCATATATATTAAAAAAACGTTCGATCTGTCTGTAATCATGAAGGTTTCTCTTTTTCAGATTTATGTAGGCTAACTTGAGCATCAAGTCACTAGCTGTTACTCAAATATTAACTATTAGAAAGGACGAAATTTCATTTGTTTCTTGAGATTACCAATAGTAGTATGAAATATGTAGTTTTGTTTTCTATGAGGAGGATCTCGAAAAACAATTACTTTTCGCGAGAACTTAAATAGAATAAGAAAATAATTAAATTTAGGTATGGTGATCATGTAGTATTGAAAAGATTTTGTTGCCGCAGGATGACAATCCTTCCGCTATGACGTTATCAATGGCTGGTAACCTTTATATGTAATCACAGGTTTCATTAGTTTGCCATTTAGGATGTTGCTATTGTTATAAAGATTTTCTGTTATTAGATTGGACGAAATTTCGAATGTCGAAATCAATGTATAGAGTGCTAATCGATAGGTGGACTCACTGATATAATGTGACCGAGTGATGGCTACTCACGAGACCGTATGGTTGAGTTAGGCCCCTGAACAATTACTAACCAGATAAACAGTTTTTCACTCAATAAATAATATGCTTATATAAAAAGTACGGGCACAAAATAAACGTGGTTGAATATCATAGGTGACCGGAAAAAAGTGAACTTGTATGTCACTTTTTTTCAATCAATTAAGACATGACAAATAGATGTCGTATCACCTCCTACACGAAATAATGTAGGATCTTTCTGAGGCAATACTGATGAGTCGGTACTTTTCCTTCTCTTCCTTTAGTTTTATAGTGAATTATGTTCTCGTTTCTTTTTGATTCCGAACTCATCATTGACAAGAAATTCAAGATACTTCATTTCGCATCCGTCTCCTCTTTAAACAGAGCACTTGTAGCACGATATGATTCGCAAAGATCCGAGTAATTAAGTTATAACAGGAAAATCCAGTGGTTCTCATGATATTGGTGCATGGCTTGTGGCGACTGATCTAGCGTATGCGCCGTCGACTCATATAAATATCACGTAACCGAAATTGGGGGTTCTGAGCTTGGATTCGAAAGTTTCGACTGTAATTCTACAGTTGAATGTGCATTGATAGTGACTTTAAGACTATTCATTGACGTATAATTTATTTATTTTTTGAACGCAAACATTTGTACAAAGGGGAGCCCAAATATAAATACTCCATATAAATCATTGAATTTGTATGTGTGCTGGGTTACTGTGCGGATGTCCGAACAGGGACACGTGGTTTTCTTAGGGATCACTCCCTGAGTCTTTGATCTAGGGGTCTAATCCAAAAGGCATTGAAGAGACGTCAGAAGTTGGAGTCCCATGGTAGTCGGTGACCAACAATTGGTTCATACGCCATTTGTTCCCTCAGGATCCTGGTGCTTATGTGACTATTGGTTTGGAGCCAGAATTTATCAACTCTCATAGGTAAGTCCTCCGAGCTCACCAACTCAGTTTAACAGTCAAATCGCTTTTCATCCTCTCAATTTTGTAAACTTCACCCCCACGCGAGAAGTCAGTGAGTAGGGCCTTCTTGGCAATGGTTATATAAGTAGAATTCAGTTAGTGTTAAGCATAACACTAAATTATTTTAAAATAGAAATCAGTTGAATTATGTTGTTTAATTTTGATCAAACTATTCTGTAGTTTTAGATGCATCATTGAAATCTACTTAGATTACTAGGAGTTGCTTATTACCCTAAATCTAGCAAACTTCCAGGAGATTTTGAAGCATGAGTTCACGTATTCGTGATCATATGAGATTATTCTTGTTAACTGTACTCAATGAAGACCCCCGACTGTTGTCGTAAGTCTAATTTCTTAACAATTATATGCTTTATCTGTAGTTTATGCACGCTAAATGAATTGACGTCTGTATTTGTACAAGAAATGAATATTGAACTCAGTGAAAATTGCTACTCAAAGCTTAAACATTTTGTGTGCTCTTTTTTGTATAATTTGATGAATGATGAGGTAAAATAATTCTACTTATTTTGTATGAAACTCAGGGAGTTGTAACAAATGGTGTGGATCCCCATGCTCAGAATTATTGCTTATCAGTTAAAAACTCTGTAAGTTCATTTTTGATTTATAAATAAAGCTTAAGACTGAATAATGATAAACTTAACATTCCTGTAAAAATTTGTCGGTTTCTTTTCGATTTATCAGTTATCATTAAATACTGGTATTCAAGGTTGCTCTTTTAAAGTTTAGTGAAGGCTGTTTTTGCTGGTGAGAGACATGCTTGTTTGTGCAATAAGTAGGTCCTTGATATATAGGGTTGTTGTTTTGTCAGGAAATATTTATTCTTCCAGTTACTGGCCTTGTTTTTGGTATTCGTTTATTCAGATATCTGAGTATTTATCACTTCACCACGTTGTATCATTAAGTTCATCTATTTATCCATATTCCATCCCCTCATTTTGATAATCTAAACTCATTAACTATTCATAAATATCTCGAACCCATCACAGCTTTGGAGTTATATCTATAATTATTTAACCTGGAATCAAGATGTTATTTTGTAAAGAAATTGTGGTTTATATTTTAAATTTCATGTTATAACAGAGAATGTGGTAACGCGTTACATATATTATTAGATGACTGTTTAGAAGCACATGTACTGTATTATGGTGTTTCCGTTATTTCAAAGTCAGTGAGACTTTCCGAATTTCTTGATAAAATTAATTTTTATGGTGGTTGTGGAATTTAGATCAATGTTTGAAAGTTTAGTAAATACACCATTTTACTTATACATCGATCTAGTTTTTCTCTTTTCACAAGCACTTCTAATCGAAATGGAAAAATAGGTTTAAAAATATTTAAACTTTCTTCAAATCTGGTGATTTTTAAATATATATGTAGGTTAGCAAAGTCTTACATCTATGAAATAGTGATTTTAGTATTTAATATGTATGTGATAGATCTTAAAAGATTAACATTGACTCATTAAATAAACTAAGGTCTCAAGTGTTTCCTTATTTCTATCACAAACAACTGGCAGTACAACAGAAGATGGTTTGACTTTCTGAAAGAGTGTAAGTGTGGATGAGTACATAATAGCCGATTCGGCTTTGTCAATAGAATTCTTCCTCACTCAATCATTCAGTTGGGCTCTTGCATAGGAAGATTATATATCAAAACCAAACTCGGACACCGCACGTCACAACAATAGTGTTCGAATCCACAAACAATCCAAGCTTCAGTTTTTGATATTAACAAGGATCTCATTACTTTTTTTATGAAATCTATATGACTTTGAAGGACTGAACTAAATTCTATTAAGACAGTTTGGTGTCAAAACATTTTCGCAACGGATCTATCCTTAGTCTTAGCACCGTTGTATTCTGACAATTTCGAACATAGCCTCAGTTATGTCAGTTTAGACAGACGGTTAGTATCACTAGCACTCACAGAGAAGTTTTTAGCTCAAGAATGAGTCCACCAGGTTGATTACTATATTCTATTATATCCAATATTTTCTAACAACAAAATTCAACTTCTAAGATGAATATTCTAAGTACTGTATAACAGTTGCATTATAACATTGTATAACAGAATATTTATTCTTCGACTTTGTAATATTACTGGAACACCATATAACTAGCCCTATGATTTTAAGATTAAAGATGACGAATTTCATTGTTTCTTTTTTTTACTAATTAAGTCTTCTACACCCGAAACACGAAGACGTGTGGTCATGCTTTCTCGTGATGAAGTAATGGCATTGGCGGCTGCTACTGTTACTGATAAAACAAATCACGCTGTATCTATATCAAACGATGGGGAAAGTGTTAGTAAGCGTATTAAAGTAAGTTGGTGTTCATTATATATATATATATATATATATATATATTAGTTATTCTTTTAAGCGTTGAAAAAGGAAATACGTCTGGTGAAAGGGTAGACGTGCTTGTAAATAAAACTTAATCCTCTTGTAAAATTTATTTTTCATACAAATATCTTATTTAAGCACTTACCGTAATGCCGTTGAACCAGGCTTCATTAAATGCAATTTTAAAAGCAAGCGCTGAAGAGTAATATGGAGTAAAGTGAATAGGTAGAAGGTTATATTTATAAAGAGTTAGCAGTGTTCATTGATGTATAGTCAACTCAAAAGTCAGACATAACTAACTTGATTGTCGTTATTAATTATATTCTGCAACGTAAGTGTTTACTAAGACTCACAGTTTTTCTATATCAGTTCATGTGATACAGGAGATTTTGTTTACTTCCAGCAGTTGAGTTCTAGTTTTTTGCGCAGTTTATATCAGCATAGTTCTACACAAATATTAATATGCGGCTGAGTATTTCATGAAGCTTCACAAAACCTTATTTTAATCTGAAATGAGATAACTTTTTTGTCAATTACGACCTTTTTATTATAGTTTAAATTAACGGCATAATTTCTGTTAACAGATAGTACGTTGTAATAAAATCCTTCATATTCGGTCAAGGGAAGTCGGTCTGTTCTTCACTCTTCAATCAGGTTTCTAAACACTAGTATTATTCTTTTTTGATTAAATTTATTTATTTGAATACATAAATATTGGTGCAAAGGGGCATCAAATACATATGCGCCACTTCGTGTAGCTTGGTTAGTAATAGAGTACTAGTTAAGGATGGCAAATCTATTGATCAGGTAGTAAATCTTCATTAACTTAGGTGGTTAGAACATGTGTTAAGTATGTTCAACCACCGCCTACCTTGGACGGGCGATGTTTTTTGGTGTAGGAGGTAGGCTGGATGAAAGCTAGGGGCGGCCAAACCAAAATATGGCATCAGTCCATGAAGTCATTGGTAGTTGTACTGAGCCATTTTAGTAGATGCAGACTACCTGATTGAGGTTTGAGTGATTATCGTAACCGATGGTTGGAGACTTAATGACATGGGTCGAAATTATTCAATGGCCCAGGTGCACCATTCTTTTTATCCCCTCAAATTCTAAGCTTCTGAATTTTTCATAACTTTTTTTGTGTTTCTATCTCACTAATTTATATTTTCTCAAATCATATCTTTGATGCCTAAGCTTTTCTATTCCCACTAATAGTGTTACTACCTCTAATATTCCGGGATTCGGTTTGACAATTTAATCTCTGTGCTGATAGGGTATGACAATTTGAACCGATGTACATATGTACTAGGTTCTGCGTTACGGCTGATCGACTGAATGACTCATTAATTTGTTAATCTGAAGACTTGGCTCCTTCGTTGTTTCTATCCAAGGGTTCACTTCCGTAGCTGAAATTTATCAATGTATACCGATATAAGTATGTTTGGGAGTCAGTCGATGTTTATATAAAGACGAAAACAATGGCCACTTCATTCAGTATGATGTTAATGTCAGTTGTTACAGATTGTATCGCAAATAATATTCGATTTGTCTTCTTTTTTAAATGTATCCGCTTTGCTTAGTTAAGAGATTCTACGGACTGATTAAGCTAAAATACTCTATCATACTATAATTAATTTCATCATGACGAAGTATGAGGAAAATATGTCTATAAAATCAACTAATGACCCCAACAGAGTGTTCTCATCGGGCACACGTTATTCCTAGTAAGTTTGATTTCCAAATGTCGAAAAGTTGGGTCGAACTCTAAACTCATTGTCTCTTTGAGTGAACTTTAATATATCAACTCATCAGAGATCAGAACTCAGCACATTTTAGAATGGAGCTTCTTGCAGACTAATATTTCTTTTGGGAGTTGTCTTCACGCAGTTCAACCAATTTATTTCGTACATTTAGTTTAATAATGTATGCGTTTTCAACGTGTTGCAGTCAGGAATTATCACTATTAAATGCCTAGAATTTTTTCATAATCACTAAGTTTCTTCATCTTCACTTCTCGTGTAATCATTACTTTCCTCGTTTATTGAAAGAATCACCTCCATTTTATCAATTCTCCATGATCGGAGAAGTGAGGATTTCCAGTCTTTGAACTAGCACCCCCTAGTGAGTAGCTTTCATCTGCTTGTATACTTAAAGTGTACTTATAAACCAGAAATAAGCTACAGTAGACAGGTAAATGAAATTCATCAAACTTTGACAATGATCATTTGTTTATTTTAAATGATTAAATCACGCAGTACAAATAACCACCCGTCGTCTCAATCCGTTTTATAAGCTCCAAGTCTTTGTCAACTTATAAAAGTTGTTTTCTGAGGTTTGTAGTATTTTAGAGGAATAAAAAGATTTTCCAGTTATCTGGTTAGAAATAGATTGCAATAGTGACGGTACGTTCATCAGTTTTATCATTCCTTAAATATTGACTATTTATCATTTTATATAAGCCTACCTCCGCATATTTTTTCGACGTGATATCGATTTATGCTTTAGTTGTATGTGACAATGTGAATAAGTAAATTTTGGGTGAAGTTCTGTGTTTTTATCGCCTAAAATTATTCATAATAGTAGAGACCCAGTTACTGTATGTTGCACTATATATATATTATATGGTTACCTGATTATTGTAAATATTTGATTGTTATGTTTTACTGTTTGTATTCACGTATTTTCGGGGCGCAGAGCAATCCATTTACGTATGGCTTTCAGTGTTAATCAGTGCGAACTGACATTATGATCACTTTGTCTTATAACCAAATAAAGTCTTATGATGATAACTAACAGATTACACTAAATAACATGAATTAATATCAAATAGGATTACTTCTACTACCTGATATCTCAGAGACACATTAATATCAGTATACTTTATTATTATTATTGTTATTATTATTATTATTATTATTATTATTATTATTATTATTATTATTATTGTGATTGTGATTGTGATTGTTATTATTTAACAAAGATGAAAACGTTCGTAAATATTTTTAACCAACCCAAAATTACTATTGAAAAATGCGATTGAGTAGTGTACGCGAATTGGTTCACACTACTTAATAAACTATCGAACAGTATTATCCAAATCATTTTGCTGGCATAAATCAACATCTGAAATGAAGGAATTTTTTTTCTTATTCTTCGAAACATTGTTGCCTTATTTTAAACTACTTATCAATTTGATGAATGAATCATTTGAATGTATGTTATATAATTCATATAGGATTTATATGATAGATAAGAATGTCAAAGTATCTATTTCTTATTGGTATAATATTAATAACATTGAATTTCAAATTTATTAATTTATTGAAACTAATCAGTTACTGTGAAATAATATTTTATTTTAAATACTTATTATTCACAATAGTGCACGCAGTGTCGAGTCACCTAGGCTAGTGGCCACATTGCAACATGGTCGATAGCATTCGATCTACACTAATAAGGACTAGACACGCAATCAATTGTGACTTGTCATTCACATTTATTTGATACATTTGTTTTAAGTATCAGAATAACCATGAAACAAACTGAAATTTAAATGATATGCTTGTTTCAAACTAAATCTCTTTATTTTGTGTGTTTATTTCGTTGTTTTTCTCTCTCTGTAAATTCAATTCAATGTAGCAATTACGTCAAACTCCACTAATTGGAACTAGGTCAACTGTTCGAACATTTGTGAATAAACCTATAATGATTAATGAAGTTAAAAGTCCAACCTCATCTAATTTAGAGGTTACTCCTCTTAGAAATATTCAACTCATACAAACACCTAGAGTGATTGAATCATCTAATCAAAAAACGGAGTCTTTTAAAAGTAACTCTACTAACAACAATAATAATTCAACTACAATGTCTATCAATAAACCAAATTTACCTGCATTTATTTTTCAATCTTCAGTGAATGATTGTAAACGTCATATATCTGTTCCGTCATCTTCATTTAATTCTACCACTAATACTACTACTATTAATAATAGCATCAATAATATTTCAGCTACGAAAACAGGTATAACAATAAAGCGACAATTAAGTGAAGCAGTGATATCAAGTGAGTAATCAGTAAAAAAACATTGAAATTGGAAATTCTTTTTTATTACAATTGTCATTTTGATAATAACTATATTTTTTGTTATATCCCAATGGGTAGAAAATGATATTTCTGACGTTTCGTGACTTAATGTAAGCTATTTCTTCAAGTTAACTATTAAGTCATGAAACGTCGGAAATACAATTATTCTACTCGTTGGGATATAACAACCCAATGCTCAATTTATTTGAAATTTTCAAGTCTAACCTTGGTATTGATACTTATAAACTGCTTATAAGCACTGGGTTTCTTCAGGTTCGTTACAACTCATTGAATCCCGTCGGTCTACTCCAGGTGACCGTGAGTTTGACCATAAACGAAGGATGTTATGTAAGGAAATTGGGCAAAACTTGCGTAAGGACCGAGAAGCCTGGTGGTCGAAGCGTGCTAATGAGCTGGAAGCAGCAGCTGCATCTGGTAACTACCGGAAGCTCTTCCAACTCATCCGAGCCACTGGCAGCAAGAAGTCTGGCGTGAGCGAAACAATCTGCGAGGATGATGGTATGCCAATCACTAATATCCATCGACGTCTTGGACGGTGGGCAGAATTTTTCGAAGAGCAGTTCAACTGGCCTGCTGCTCCGGCAACATCGGTCAGACTGTCCTGCCATCCATGGCCGGTGACGACTGATCCACCAAATGAGGCGGAAGTCCGCAAGGAACTCCAACTCTTGAAGCGTTACAAATCACCTGGCCCAGATGACTTACCTCCGGCTCTTTTTAAAGATGGTGGTGACTGTTTGACTAAGGAATTGACGACGTTGTTTACAAAGGTTTGGGAACTAGAGAGTGTACCAACGTCATGGAATGAGTCGATAGTTGTCTTTATCTTTAAAAAGGGTTCACGTCGTTCCTGCAACAACTATCGGGGGATAAGTCTACTTCCGATCGCGTCCAAGCTATTGGCTTCCGTCATACTTCGTAGGTTGTTCAAAACTCGAGAAAGATTGACTCGCGAGGAGCAGGCTGGGTTTCGTTTTGGTCGAGGATGTATTGATCATATCTTCACCCTCCGCCAAATGTTAGAACACCGTCATACTTATCACAGGTCAACAATCGTAGTGTTTCTTGACATTAGGGCTGCCTTCGATTCGTTGGACAGGACTGTTCTCTGGGATTGTCTATTGAAGAAGGGTGCGAAAAGTTTAACATCTTACATGTCCTATATACAAACATCTCAGGCAGAATAAGGGAATACAACCACCTCTCTCCATTGTTTCATTCGAGCAGTGGGGTTAGGCAGGGTTGCCCAATCTCACCATTCCTCTTTAACTTTGCCATCGACGACATTCTGGAGACAGCTCTGATGGATGTAAGTAATGGCGGTGTGGATCTGTTACCTGGAGAAAGACTTCTCGGCCTTGAGTTTGCGGATGATATTGTCTTACTGTGCGATAATGCCCAAGGCATGCAATCCACACTTAATCAGTTGGCAATCAGTGTCCGTAGGTATGGTATGTGCTTTGCACCTTCGAAGTGCAAAGTACTCCTACAATACTGGCAGGAACGTGATCCTGCACTCACCCTGGGTAGTGAGCAGATAGAAGTATTCCAGAAGTTCGTGTATCTGGGTAGCTGCATAAGTGCTGGTGGGGGTGTGAGTGATGAGATCAATGCACGTATAGTGAAAGCCAGAGCGGCTTATGCCAATCTGGGCCATCTTTGGCACCTTCGTGATGTCAGTCTGGCTGTAAAAGGTCGGATCAACAACGCGTCGGTGAGAGCAGTTTTGCTCTATGCTTGTGAAACCTGGCCTCTCCGAGTTGAGGATGTTAGACGACTCTCTGTGTTCGATCATCGCTGTCTCCGAAGGATTGCTGACATCCAGTGGCAACACCATGTCAGTAATGCAGAGGTTCGGCATCGTGTGTTCGGGCACAGAGATGATAATTCAGTTGGTGTCACCATCTTGAAACACCGACTTCGGTGGCTTGGACATGTTCTCCGAATGTCGTCCCAGAGAATTCCACGTCGTGCATTATTTGCCGACTCTGGGACTGGTTGGAAGAAGCGGAGAGGTGGTCAGTGCATGACGTGGTGTCGTGGCATGAAAGAAAGCTGCAAAGGATCGGCTTCTGTTGGTCCTTCATGACTCTCTAGTTGGGGTCTGAGAGATGGTACTACGCAGTGGCTAGAGACGTTATCAGATATGGCTCAGAATAGAAGCCAGTGGCGATCCTGCTGTAACCTTCTTTTACTTTCTTCATAAAAAGTGGTTGTATCTTCCTTACCTGAAAGATTTCTTCCGATTGTACCTTTCCGTTCCCTCATTACTACCACACTACCTTACACCAATCTCTTCGTTATTGTTCTCTTTTTTTACGCTCCTTACCTTTTTTTCTTTCTCTTCGAATTCTCATTGTTTTGTGTGGCGCATATATATTGGCGCTCTCTTGTTCCAATATTTATGTGTTCAAATAAGTAAATAAATAATATTTTGATTTGTATATTGTCTAAATCATCATCAGTAACGTTTCGTTATCCACTTTTTAAAAATCATTGTTTCAATAATTAATGGTAGTAAAAAAAATGTTGATCAAGAGATTTATTAAGTAATTTAAATTTGTAATACTTTATGAAAAATTTCCAAGTCTACATCATTGAAATAACAGATTTGTGTTTTTGAGCAGGTTCAAAAATGTCCTGGTAAACGTGAACTGTGGCTAACAGTGGAATCCATAACAAGCTTTTCGTTCTGTTTTGGACTCGTCAGCTGTCTACACCTTCATCTAGTGTTGATCTTTACACAAAAACTCGAACCATATAACTTCAAGCGCTAGCGCGTCACTCACTAAACTCCTGAGTCCACATCACAACCAACTTGTTCAACAGGTATGAAGTTTGAAGCGAAAGGTATCGGATTCAATTCTAAGTATATACATCAACACTAAGATTCAGATGCATCCAGCTGACTAGTCCCAATTAAAATGGAACGCGTGTTATTGATCCCATTGCTAGCTCCAATCCAATCTTACTAAAACTTGTAATTTAAGATAGTATTGAGGTAATTCACTTAGGATTCACATGTGCCAATAAGGACCGATCAACTGCAGTGCGTAACACTAACAATATGAAGACTGAAACCCTTGCATATGAATAATATTCTTCTGCAGATTTTATCTACAGTATACATCGGAGACGGATTATATATTGCTTAGGCCATAGGTATGTCTACATGTTTGACATTATCAACGACCAAATTTATTGATCATCCATATTCGTGTACCTGAGTTTGTGCTATAGTCATAGACAGTTTTAAAACAAATGTAGTGCCAAGCTGGTGTCTAAGTAAAAAAATTCCTACTTAAATTCATTGTATAACTTTTTACTGATAAGTGTGAAATCCTTACAAGGATTATGACTGAATCATCGAACTGTTCACAAAGAGCTTTAAATCTAAAAATGGCATATATTTTCAAGACATTATTGAACCTAATAAAATAACCACAAAGAGTTTAAGAACATTTAAACAATAGGTGACTGGGTGTTATTTACATCGTCAACAATATAAATAAAAGTAAATAAGAGCCAAATTATTGTCCTGTATATGAAAAACTAACCCATGGCTATTTCAAACGAGAATAATATTAACAATTGGCGGAAATAAATTAGTTATTACTATTCAGAAAACCAGGAAACAACGTGCAGTAAACGTTTTAGAAAGTAGGGTGTATAATAAAAGCTAACAATGAGATGAAGAATGAGACAAATCACGAAAATAGAAGTATAAATGAAGACTATACTTGGTTTGTTACAATCGAGAAATTGTTCTTGTTATAGTAAATAAGCCTTACAGTTGGTAAATGGGTAGCTCATTATTAGTATCATTCTCAATAAATAGTATGTTCTCAGAAAAAAGCATGGAATAATTGAAGGTTATCACGTTTAAGGGAAACTTCCAAAGGAGTTAATTCATGCACTGGTATTTTAGTTATTGTAAACAATTTATCAAATAAATAGGTCTACTTACTCAGCATTGAGTCACACTGTATACTTAAGGGGTAAGCATACTTCCCTTTTGTCCTCTCTTCACTACTCTATGGTTACGAAACACGGTCTATGGGACTAAAAGACACTCATACGCTACAGGTTTTTGACTATAATCGTCTTTAAAACATTGCTTGCATATCATGGAACAACCATGTGAAGAATTTTGAGGTAGGGCATAGAATACCAAATGAAGATGCCAAATTGGCTGATGAGGTAATGAAGTTTTATACATTGAGGTAGTTTGGACATATATTACGTATGTCTAACCATCGCCTACCTCGATGGTGAATGCTCGCTGGTGTAGAAGTAAGTTGGGGCAGCTAAACCAAAATGTGGTGTCAGTCCACGAAATCATTAGCTGTTGACGTGAGCTATGACAGTAGGTGAAGATTATAGTCGTAGTCAATGGTTGAAGATGTGTAATCCAGCTCAGAATCAATTACAATGGCACAGTTACATTAGCGTTCTCTAGGTTTTGATTTTCAGTATTCATTCATACGTACTTTTTTACTCTATTCTTTCGAACCATATCCCCGATGATTAGTCTTCTTCCGTATCATCGTCACTACATTATTTCGATATTTGCAATTTATTTTGTTAATCTAATCTCGTGATAACGTGTTATGGAAACTAACCAATACGCATTGTTGTCAGGTTCTACGTTTATTGTAACTGATTGAATGACGAACTGTCTATAAAAGCTAGTGATTCCACCCGTGTGTTCAAGCTGAAGTACGTGGAGTCGGATTCAAATATATAGTCTACATCGGTCGATGATACATAGTCCGAACTTTTAGATCACTTGTGTTGATAGTTTTGTTTTTAAATCAGTGGATGAAGTTTCCACTAACTCAATTTTGTTTTAATCTAGTTTGTAGATTGCACTGTGTACGCATTTTTGTGTATAATTTTTTCTAATTTCAGTTCGACCTGCAACTAGTCGTTTGTTAGACAACAATTAAAATTAATGGTTTCGATACATATAACGATCTCAACGTGTATGGATATAGAGAAGATCGTATTCTCATACTTCTGTTTTGGAAGCATTCATTTCGATTCAAAGAAGATAAGACGCTTATTTTTTCGTTCTGCATTTCTTTTCATACACATCTTCATGTTATTATTAATGTACGCATAAAAAAAGATGATTTCCAGCTTTCTGATTCTGTTAAACAACAATCAATATGGATGTCATAGATTTATTTCTCTAAATTTGTAAATAATCAGTATTTGCCTGTTCACTGTTATTATTTATACCACAGGTTATTTTTAAATACTGCATAAACAGAGTTAAACAATAGCTCTATAATCTTTCATTTGTTCATGAAATCCATGTAAATGGTACTGTATTCAATAGAGATTTATTATTCACCATGTATAAATATAAATACAAATATATATTTCCGTATTTACTTTTTAACATAATTACACACTATCTCGTATTGGTCGATAAAAATTAGGCTGTAAATACTGAAAATATAATGTTATCTACAAATATCATGCTTTGAATGCACAGAAGATAATCATCGTGGTTGTCAGTGAGAATTCGTTGACCTTTGTGAATGTAATAGGGCTTACGGCGAAAATGGCTCGTGATAGCTTTTTCACATTGTGTTAGAATCCTACGGAGGAAATAAATTTCCCCAAGATAACAGACACGCCTTATTAACGATTATCAACTAGTAAAGAGTGTCGATTTAAGTCTTCTTGCCGATTGAATCCAACTGCCTAACATAAAAAATAGTGCTCCGTGAAGTCAAGTCACTTAGATTAGTGGCCCCAGTGTAACTTAAGCTTAGACAAGATGATAATGTAAGTAAAGCCAGAACAAATATTGATGCAGAATAGTATGAATTCATTTTGTTCCGAGGTTTCTCGTCAGTCGCTTACAACCAAATATGTGATAGAACTTTTACATTGAGATAATGTGAAACAATTGCCATGAATGTATGTAGATAATTGGAATGAAAAACGGCCCACTTCTGGTAGAAGGTTATATTTATAAAGAGTTAGCAGTGTTCATTGATGTATAGTCAACTCAAAAGTCAGACATAACTAACTTGATTGTCGTTATTAATTATATTCTGCAACGTAAGTGTTTACTAAGACTCACAGTTTTTCTATATCAGTTCATGTGATACAGGAGATTTTGTTTACTTCCAGCAGTTGAGTTCTAGTTTTTTGCGCAGTTTATATCAGCATAGTTCTACACAAATATTAATATGCGGCTGAGTATTTCATGAGACAATATCACAAAATTTCAATACGGCCTTTCTTCAGGATACTAACAAACTCAAGATAGTCCTCAGCAATAAGTTCCAGGCCTTTCATGATCTACTCAATGGAGAAGGAACTACTGTGGAAAGCAACTGGAAGGGGATCAAAAAGGCAATCACTTCAACATGTCATGAGGTCATGGGTCACAAGAAGCACCATCACAAGAAATGGATCACTGTTGATACACTGGATAAGATTCAAGAAAGGAGGAACAAGAAGGCAGCAATCAATACCAGTCGAACAAGAGCAGAAAAAGCCAAGGCACAAGCTGAATACACAGAAGTAAACAAACAAGTGGAGAGGAGCATCAGAACCGACAAACGTAAATATGTGGAAGATTTAGCAACGACGGCGGAAAAGGCTGCAAGAGAAGGAAACATGAGACAACTGTATGACACGACAAAGAAACTCTCTGGAAATCGCCGCAAAGCAGAACGACCAGTGAAAAGCAAGGAAGGCGAGGTAATCACCAACATTGAAGAGCAACAAGTCAGGTGGGTAGAACACTTCAAAGAACTCTTGAATCGACCAGCTCCACTGAACCCACCCAACATCGAAGCAGCACCCACGGACCTCCCAATCAATGTTAGCCCACCAACAATAGAAGAAATCAGCATGGCCATCAGACAAATCAAGAGTGGCAAAGCAGCAGGACCGGACAACATCCCAGCAGAGGCACTAAAAGCAGACGTAGCGGCAACTGCAAGGATACTCCACATTCTCTTCAATAAGATTTGGGATGAGGAACAAGTACCAAAAGACTGGAAAGAAGGACTTCTGATCAAAATACCGAAGAAAGGCGATCTCAGCAACTGTGATAACTACAGGGTCATCACTCTTCTCTCAATACCGGGAAAAGTCTTCAACAGGGTATTGTTAAACAGGATGAAGGACTGCGTAGACGCCCAACTTCGTGACCAACAGGCAGGATTCCGTAAGGATAGAGTTCATATGATGGATTACACTGCAAAATTGTGCATGGAGGACAGTTGACAAGTCGTTCGAAGTGAAGGCCGGTGTTAGGCAAGGTTGCTTACTCTCACCCTTTCTCTTTCTCTTGGTGATCGACTGGATCATGAAGACGTCAACGTCTGAAGGGAAGCGCGGGATACAATGGACATCTAAGATGCAGTTGGATGATCTAGACTTCGCAGATGATCTGGTCCTTCTATCTCAAAGGCAACAACAAATGCAGGAGAAGACGACCAGTGAAGCAGCAGCAATAGCTCTCAATATACACAAAGGGAAAAGCAGGATTCTCCGATACAACACAGCATGCACCAATCCAATCAAAATTGACGGAGAAGATTTGGAAGATGTAAAAACCTTTACATATTTTGGCAGCACCATTGATGAACAGGGTGGATCTGATGCAGATGTGAAGGCGTGGATCGAGAAAGCAAGAGCAGCGTATTTACAACTGAGGAACATCTGGAACTCAAAGCAACTGTCAACCAACGCCAAGGTCAGGATTTTCAATACAAATGTCAAGACAGTCCTACTGTATGGGGCAGAAACTTGGAGAACTACAAAAGCCATCATTCAGAAGATACAGGTGTTTATTAACAGTTGTCTACGCAAAATACTTCGGATCCGTTGGCCGGACACTATTAGCAACAACGTACTGTGGGAGAGAACAAACCAGATCCCAGCAGAGGAAGAAATCAGGATGAAGAAGCGCTGGAAGTGGATAGGACACACATTGAGGGAAGCACCGAACTGCGTCACAAGACAAGCCCTCACATGGAATCCTCAAGGCCAAAGGAAAAGAGGAAGACCAAAGAACACATTACTCCGGGAAATGGAAATAGACATGAGAAGCTGAAGCTGAAGCGATCGCGATAAAAAACTTAAACCGGATTTATGTATTCAAAAAGAGACAGTAATAAACTTATTACCCTGGTAATCCATTTTTATTTTATTTTTATTGTTTTTTGGTTATTTGTGTTATTTTATTCATTTATCTATTTTTTATATCATTTATTTTGTTATATTCCTCCCCCATTACCGAATTCTTAAACCAACTTTCCATTCACACATTTCCGCCCACTTACGCTCTTAAATTATGTGAACTTTTCAAACTCTATTCAATTATTACGTAACCTATCTTATCACTGTTTAGTCCCATGATTCTTTCATTATCTCTAAAATTATCACACAATTTATCTTATCAGTCTCTGAACTCCACTCAACTATCACACTATCCATCCTTAATTGTTTCCTTAATTCTAGCACCAAATAACCTCTGACCTGTTCTTGTATGCATATGTGTATAGTTATTATTGATAACATTTGTCATTCCAATTATTTACATTCAATTATGTCAATTGTTTCACACTATTTCTTATCTCAGTATTAAATTCTATTACATATTTGGTGGTAAGCAACTGACGAGAAACCTCGAAATGAAATGAATTCATACTATTCTGTATCAATATTTGTTCTGGCTTGATTTAAATTCATAAAAGGAACTAATTGCATGACAGATGATAATGGTTAATATTAAGTGGCTAGTTAGTACCTAGCTCGATCAGTACAAGTACATCGTTAGTGAACAGATTTGACAGGGAAAAGAGAGGATATCAAGGTATTTGGATCTACTCAATTGGTTCTAGTGAGCGACATTAGAAGTTTGCTATTAATTACGTGCTTAAAATCGATTTTGGAAAAAGATTGCCATCACTAGAACACTTACAATAATTTAGTGATTTATGTTATGCTACTTACAAGTAACCAAAATTCTACACGAAATATTTACAGCTTATATTTACCTGAATCTGAAAAACGATTTTCGGTCTCTAGAGAATCTTGAAATGAGAATGGTTAGATAATTTGGAATCGAATGTATTAATGACCTGAAAATCCTTAGTTCCGGTGAACTGTTTGACTCATTTAGGTCTCCCTAGCAATTTCATCACACCGAAACAAGTTATAAAAATCCGAAGTGAAAGATGCAAACAACCTACTACATAAACACTATTACTAGTCCATTAGTGTATTCGTTTAAATAATCTGGTTTTGTATTATCCTGAATGTGTGGAACGGTGTGTACAGAATGAACATTGTGACAATAGTTGAGTGATACCTAAATGTAGAGGAAATTCTTTTGGAATACATATTGAAATGATAGTAATCATCTGACGTAGATTAATGATGTACTTTTAGAGGTTGACATCTTTTGTTGTCATCAAAGAACCGATATTAAGAAAGTAGTTGAACTTTTTACTGCATCAGTATATCAGCGGGATTACACTGAAGGCTAGTTGTGAGTTCATTGCAGGAAATCAATAAACGTCGATAAGTGTGACAGCTCCCAGAGTTTCTTTGAACCTATTCAAGCCACTAGAGACAGGATTTCCGGAGTCTTCGTATGGAATTCATCTTATAATCTGATCTACGAAGCACCCTGGATAGGCTTTTTGAGAGAACGTTCTTTTGAGGAGATAAAGTCTTTGTATTGTAAATTATATGTGACTGCTTTCGATAAATCTTCCTTTATGGTTACGTTATTTTGATGAACTGAATTTTGTATTCCACACTAGTTTAAACAATGTGAAGCATTTTAAATCAGGAAAAAATGTGGATAACTAAGGTGGTCAGGATTCAAATGTCTTCGTGCAATAATGGTATACATAATAGTTTTAAGTATAATAACTAAAGAATAGGTGTAGGAATTCAACTAAAATACAATTGTTTTATTGTAAACAGTTTAGATAGAGGACGGACAAGAATGTTTGTGAGGGTATGATACGATTGAAAAAATATTGAAAAGCATCGTAATGTAGTGTTATACCAACAAGGTAGTGTCCATATAAACCAAAAAAAATTAGTATATATGTATTTGAGTTCAGACCATAAATCATCTGTGGTTCTATATTCAAATCGGTAAATCAAAAAGTGACTGTTGTTGTACACTAATCTGTGTAATTTTGCTGCTTCAAAGTGTAAATAAAATATGCAGCCTAACCGAATAAAGAAGTACATTTCCCACTGATTCTTTGAGGAATGTAAAGACTTAAGGCGCTAAAAAACATTCAGCAATATGGAGGTGGATGTGAACAATAAATTTAAACTACAGTTGTTGTAATGTTACTCTCAATTTTTCCTCTTTAATTTTGGAAGTTATTTGTC